TTGTTGTTTTGTTTTGTTTTTAAAGATTTTATTTATTTATTTGACAGAAAGAGATCACAAGTAGGCAGAGAGGCAGGCACGGAGAGAGGGGGAAGCAGGCTCCTTGCTGAGCAGAGAGCCGGATGCAGGGCTCGATCCTAGAACCCTGAGATCATGACCTGAGCCGAAGGCAGAGGCTTAACCCACTGAGCCACCCAGATGTCCCAGTCCTAGTTTTAAAAACTTATGGGCTGATAAAAATTTACGCCCAAGTCTTCTAAACTAAGGAAAGTCAGGGAAGAAACCCTGCGTTTGAAGACACAAAGTTATAACCTGATAGTACACATGGATGACCCCTAGGGTCCAGTTAAATAACTCCTTGGTAAAAAAATATTTGTTCAAATTGTCCTCTATCATTTCTCCCTTAGAAAAAAATTAAGCAGAATTCACAGCAACACTTTCACCCCTCTGTGATTCACACATTCATGAAAGCGCTTCTACATCCTAGAAAATTTTATATTCAAAATGTCACAGCTAAGTACAAAAAATACAGTAAGACTCACTAAACTTATTATTCATTCTTTTTCTCCTTCTTATTCAATTTTGCTTGTTTTTTAAGAACATTTATACCCTTGGGATTGGAGGGTCTTTCAAGTGTATTTACCACAACTAAGTTAGAACCCTTTAAACCTAAAAATGAAGAGAAAAATGATATAAGTTGGAAGATGTGGGCAAGCTAAGTAGGGGCAGACATTCTCAGTACCTCCAGGTGGGACCAAAAAAGCATATTTTGTAGATCAAAAACACTTCCGGAGAAAGCTTCCCACAAAGCGGTTTAACATAATCCATCAGTGGTATAATTACAGCAGAATCTACAGCACAATAAAATAAACCTATAAACCTTAATCCATTTCCATACAAATACCTTTACTAATGAAATCAGGAAAATGAATAAAAATTATGTACAATGGCAGGCTATGCTGAAAAAAGGCTCAAAAAAGGCATCCTTTCCACACAAGTTCTCCATAGGTCTCTAAAATATTATGCCATTTATGCAATTACAATCAGCTACTATTCTTAGGGGTCAAAGGCCCCAGCAAAATAAATGGAGATACTGCTTCAGTAAAGATGGCTCAATCAATCTGGAAATGTTTCTGCTTGGAGGATGTCATACTCTAATCTGTATAGCAGACAATGGAGTTTCATTAAAAATCCTGATTTCACAACTCATTATGTGATTGTCACATGCATGCATCCTGTCCCAATCTTGGTGGTCTAGGCTTTGTATTTCTCCCAAGTACCAGCCGCTGCGTTCCACTAGGAAAGGGAGCATAACACCAGCCTTTCGTGCTTGTTCTGAGAGGAGTGATTAGGAATATCTTAAGGAATTCAAATATTCTGATCTAAGTGATAGTTCTTCCAGGAAATAATAGCATCTAAAATCAGGACCAATAGGGGTAGATGAATGCACAGAAGAATAAAAAGAAAAACACAAATAATAGGGACCAGATCTTGATGACAAATACCCCTTAAAAATCATCACATCACCCCTTGTAGGTGTGAGAGTTTGCATGTCCAGCTCCAACCAGGGCCTAAACCCACTTTTGTTAGCTTGGTCAAAGCAAAAATACTTCCTTTCAAATAGAGATCAGTAGTCAATAAAAATATCCATCTATGTTCGCTAACATTAATGGCTCCACATGGAAGGCATTTTGATCCCTGGATAGTTCTATCTTTAGCAGCAGCCCAATTTCTGCTTATAAGCTTCAATTAAATGGTGGGAGGAAATACACGGTAGACCTGCTAGAAGAAAACTCACACTCAGAGGGCAGCCGGGGTTGGATATAGCTGGGAAAATAATGTCAAGTAACAGTCTGAATATTGAGGCAGGAGTTAAAAAGGGAGAGCAAACAATGTTTTGTAAGTAGGAATGAACAAAGACAATAAGGAGTGCCAGACAAAAATGGATTCAAGCAAGGCATTCAGATCAATGCTATACAGTCATTCTCCCTTATTAATGGGGGATCCCTTCCAAATCCCCAATGAATGCCTGAAACCATGGATAGTACCCCCTTCCATACTGTTTTTCCTATACATACATGCCTAGAATAAAGTTTAATTTGTATATTAGGAACAGTAAGAGATTAACAACAATAACAAAATAGAACAATTATAACGATATACAGTTGGCCCTTGAACAACATGGGTTTGAATTGCATGGGTCCATTTACACATGAATCTTTTACAGTACAGTACTGTAAATATATTTTTCTTAAAATACTTTTTTTTTGTAAAATTTTATTTTTATTTATTTATTTGACAGAGGGAGACACAGCGAGAGAGGGAACACAAGCAGGGGGAGTGGGAGAGGGAGAGAAGCAGACTCCCCAAAGAGCTGAGAGTCCAATGCGGGGCTCAATCCCACCAGGACCCTGGGATCATGACATGAGCTGAAGGCAGAGGCTAAACGACTGAGCCACCCAGGCACGCCCTTAAGATTTTCTTAGTAACATTTTTTCTCTAGCTTACTTAATGCAAGACTATGGTGTATAAAACATAACAAACAAAATACGTATTAATCAACTGTTTACATTACTGTTTACTTTACCGGTGAGGCTTCTGGTCAACAGGTTATGAGTAGTTAAGTTTGTGGGGAGTCAGAAGTAAGGGGCAGGTTTTGGGCTGCGCCAAAGGTCGGCGCCCCTAACCTCCCTGTTCAAGGGTCAACTGTACTAACTTTTACTAAAGTTATGTGAACGCGGTCTCTCTCAAAGTATCTCACGGCACTGTACTCACTGCTGTTGGCCTCAGGTTGGGAGATCACAAAACGCCGGCAGGAGGAGTCTTTCACGTGGTGAAAAACACAGGATTTGTGGGTAGAGTCAGGCTGCTATCGACCTTCCGACGATTCGTCACGAGGAGGCTCCCTGGCTTCCGGGAAGCGAAACTGCGGATAAGCGGAAACCGCTGCATTTTCCTCTAGATGCCGCCTGCCGTAAGGCAGAGGCGGCGGCTGAGGGTGATTATGCGGTGTGTGTCCGTGATTAGAACATAATTCTAAACACAAGACAAACCTGTGGTGATGGCGGCTCTGGCAGTCTTTACAAAGTGGCCAAAAGAAAGCAGGGATTTACTCGGGAGACCTAAATTTCCTATCCTAATAAATCCAAACATATTTCTCACACCAGCCAAGGATACGGACGTGTCTTCCTCTTACCGGTGTGATTTTTTGACCTGGGAGGTTCTTGATGATATAGTTTCTTCCGTGGATTGTGAGGAATCTTGGCAACAAGGACATCCACACCTATAGAATATTTTAGAGAGTTTAAAAATAATAATAATAAGGCACTCGGGGCACCTGGGTGGCTCAGTAGGTTGAGTGTCTGCCTTCGGCTCAGGTCGTGATCCCAGGGTCCTGCTCAGTGGGGAGCCTGCTTCTCCCTCTCCCTCTGCCTCCTGCTCTCCCTGCTTGTATTGTCTCTCTCTCTAATAAATAGTAATTTTTTAAAAAATCTTAAAAAAAAAAATAAGGCACTCATTTCTCAGGACCATCTACTACCACTTTCAGGAAAAACTTGTATCAAAAACAAAATCTATAATGTGTACAATTAGAGGTGGTACCCTCTGGGTGCTCTGCTGGGCATTCTGGAAGATCTTATGCTCAAATTCATGCACTTAGAATCAGCATGGGAAATGTAAGCTTATCAAGGTGGCAATGAGGTTTAGAACCTGGACATTCAGGATGAGGAAGAAGAAGGGAATGGATGACCCAAGCCAAGAAACTAAGGTCAAGAAGTAGAAGTCTACTTTTGCCACATGTGGATTGCTATATTCATTTTGATAACCTCTCTTTATGTTTAATAATTTCCTGGATACCTGAAGGACTATTCATTACACAATGTCCATAATTCAAAGACATTCTTTTCCATCTTGCTTACCTACATGGAACTCTACTTCCCCTTTAAAAAAAACTAGGCATTAGCTTTTTCACCTTGATTTCTATAAGGGGAAAATACGTTTTTAGATTGGTTCTTTTTTACAGCATATATCTCTCAGATACTTATTTATTTATGTTGTTGACTTCACGAAAGTGAGTTGCTTATAAGTCTGACTTTTTCTGCTCAGCCTTAGCACCGTTCTTGGAAGTTAGAGGATTCTCACGAAGTTTATGTTAAATGAGTTTTTGTTGTTGTTGTTAAATGAATTGTTAGGCCACAGAATACACCCAGCAGTCATTTTTAAAATCCCATTTCTGATATTCGCAAGGTTGCAATGGCGAGTTGCTTTTTTGATCAATGAATTAGGTGCATTCAGTGACTTTGTATCCAATAATCCTGATCATTCAGGATTATGAGAGCATGCCAGAGAGCATGCCACTGTTTGTGATTCCTTCTTTTCTCTAATTCATGCTCACTGGGTGATTCCCCTATACTTCTAACCTTCACCTTAGTCTTCTCTCTATTCCCCTTTCCCTGTAAAAGCCTCAGCAAGAAAGGGTGTTAAGAATGTCATAGAAAGGGCGCCTGGGTGGCTCAGTGGGTTAAAGCCTCTGCCTTCGGCTCAGGTCATGATCTCAGGGTTCTGGGATCGAGTCCCGCATCGGGCTCTCTGCTCAGCGGGGAGCCTGCTTTCTCCTCTCTCTCTCTATGCCTGCCTCTCTGCATACTTGTGATCTCTCTCTCTGTTTCAAATAAATGAATAAAATCTTTAAAAAAAAAAAAAGAATGTCATAAAAAGTAGAGTATCACATTACATTCTCAAGGAATTTTGATTGCTGTGATATAACAGAACCATTCTCTCTCCTTCATAAAAGGCTATCTTCTCTTAAGGATATTTTCAGAAATGTCAATTCAGCCATTAACTATTCATGTAAGAAATATGCTCTGCTAAATAAATATGACAACAGTAATAATCATACCACTAATGATACAAATTTAAACTCCTTCAGGTCAAATGCATACCAAAAAATGAACAACAACAACAACAACAAAAAACCCAAAACCAGAAAAACAAACCCCACAAGCTGCAGGGTCAGTGAAAAATACAGAAAGGCAGGTTAAGTGTTCAATTTGTCTATGGCCAGGGGCTCAGATTTCCCTAGGAGCAAGTTTTGTTGTTGAGTTATTCTATCATGTAAATTGAGACGCTATAGAGAGAAGTTAGGTGTCTAGATTTTTACATAGAATCCTTCATTCAAAATATAAAGTCATATGTTTCCCGATGTCATCGAGAGAGCTATGCTAGGAGAGTTCAGGGCATTTTTGTGACCATCTTCAAAATAAGGAGTGTGGCTAGATACCATCTAGTGTTTTCTAACACTAACACGTGCACCATTCTAAACCATGGCATGTCATGGACTGAACCGAGAGAATGAACAATGTATTGAAACCAGAATCACCCTAAAAATGACCATAACAGCGCCAACTGGAATACCTCTTATCTGTATCATCACTTAAACACGCTGTTTTCATTTTTACATGGAAGTTTGCGTTGTTTCCTATAAATGCTGCATTTTCCTTTCTGGAAGAACGGATAATATTACATACAGCAACCACTGATCTCAGAAGGCTGCCATTAAAGACACTTAAAACAATTAAGTCTGCACTTGAATTCCTTCACTAAGCTGCATTTCTGGTTCCTGCATAACAAGGTAGTAATAAGCAGCCTAGAATGACTGGTGTCCTGGTAACTCTGCCAGGATACTCTTGCTGAGAGCGGAGCCATCAGGAAGTAGGAATGTTAAATTTCTTTTTTTTTTTTTTTAAGATTTTTATTTATTTGACAGACAGATCACAAGTAGGCAGAGAGACAGGCAGAGAGAGAGAGGAGGAAGCAGGCTTCCCACTGAGCAGAAAGCCCGACGCGGGGCTTGATCCCAGGACCCCGGGATCATGACCTGAGCCGAAGGCAGAGGCTTTAACCCACTGAGCCACCCAGGTGCCCCAGGAATGTTAAATTTCTGCGAAGGGTATCAATTTCATTTTCCGGCTCTACTCCTTAAACCCTCTCCTTGTGAAAGTGTGTGGCTATCAAATTGAGTAATTCACCTTTTACTACTGATTGAGTAAAAACTGTTATTTATTCCAAGTATAAAAATTATTTGTGTTGATAAATATATATAAAGAATTTCTTTAGGACACACCTAAAGAACATTTAACATATTCTCACTGTAAACCATTGATCACATACACAGGCACTCACTCACACATTTCAAAGCTATTAAGAACTGATATATGGCTGACACAGTAATAAGCTTTACAGATATGTCTGTAAGCATAATGCAATACTTTTATTCAAGGAATATACAAGAGATTAAGACAAACTTAACTGGTATTTTTCATTAAAGACACATTGTGTATATGTGTGTGCATGTGTGTGGAGGGGTGCTCTAATCATGTGTGCAGGTACATTTTTTTAAAGATTTTATTTATTTATTTGAAAGAGAGACAGTAAGTGATAAAGAGAGGGCATGAGCAGGGGAAGAGGCAGAGGCAGAGGGAGAGGGACAAGCAGACTCCCCACTAAGCAAAAAGCCTGACATGGGGCTCGATCCCAAGACTCTGGGATCATGACCTGAGCGGACACTTAATCAACTGATCCACAAGTGCCCCAACAGATGCATTTTACTCCTATGTGATTTTACTCCGCTGCATCTTACTCCTGTGTGATGACATAGTGGACAGTCTTGCAGCCATACAACCTGAGTTTGAACCTCTAACTCAAGCTTTAAGAGCTAAATATCCTTTGCTTAAGTAATCAACTTTGCAACTTAATATGACATGTAGAATATAACGATGGCCAACCAGTTTTGTTTTGCACATGAAAATTCCTTTATATAACATGAGACATTGCACAATTTAAACTTATAATTTGAACAAACCATCTTTAACATCCCCAATGTGTATGGGTTTTCTTATTTGTCATCTTCCCTCTGTGAAATGTCTTGCACAACCCTTAGAAATCTCTCATATATCAGCCCGAATGTGTTGTCTATTCACAACTTTGTTTGCTCTGGCAGAAACAACATCCTTGTTACTGGCCAACCAGGGTCACTAGAAACACTTTCTCATGCCCTATACCAAAGCATTGTTTATCCGTCTAGAGAGCTTTATAACAATTGCCCCCAAATCGAAGAAAATACAAACAATGACAGCTAGAATGCCAGCTGCCCATCTCTCCCTACAAAAATAGGCATAATGCAAGATATCCAAGAATCTAACTTGAACAACAAAAGGACTAAAACTTCGAGGGCTCAGCAGTTTACAATCTTTTTAAAGATACTGCTAATGCCTTTACCCAAGATAGACAACTTTTGATGAGGGCAACCTAAGATCTGTTTAAAATCAATAATGTCTGTTACTTGACTCTTCGAATATGATGTTAGGAAATGTAGAATAATTGCTAAAAGTTACATCAATTACACATGAATATAGAGGAGATGATGCACTGAATCTATCCTGGCCCCCCCCACCTAGTCCCTGAAACAACTCACTTGAGCGTGAAAGTCAATTTACATTTTTTTTTCAATTCAAGAAATGGAATTTTCATTTTGTGTCATATTCATAAAAAAACTCATATATAACTCAGCAGGGTACTCACATGTGCTTAGAAACAATATTAGGTATGGGAATTACCTTTTGTACCATAAAGACAAAATTACTCACTGAGAAATAAGATTGTAAAGGATCTTCAGGAAGCAAACGAGGAAAAAAAAAAGATACAGGATTTCATCCGAGACTGGAACTGTTGTATTGTTCATCTGCAGGCTAGCCTCATCCCTCCTGTTTCAATTTTACATCTCTACTTAGATTCTCTTCTCTCCCAGGAGCACGAGAGGCTGTTAGATTTTAATGAAGACGTGTTGCGGAGAGAGCCATGGGGTTAGAAATGGGAGTTCGAATCCTGCAAACTATTTCTTAGGAACAACAACATGAAAGATTAGGTATAAAGGGATTATAGATACAGGTGCAGTTATAGCAAAGTAAATTTACTTAATATAATGCCATAAACATTTTCTATGTTATTAGAAAATCTCCAAAATTATCATGCTAACGACTGTATCATATTTTATAAAGTAGATGCACCATAGGCTACTTAACCAATTCCCAGTTGGAGACATTCATATTTTCTCCCCTACTTTGTCCTGCAGTAAAACAGGTTACAATAAACTTCTTTGCTCTTTCATGTTCCCCCTTTCCCCACATCCTTTATGTAGTCAGAATGTTTTTCTTGGTTTGTAGTCACAGAAGCATATTTATCAGGTCAATATCTGTAAATATTTTGAAGCTCTTGCTTATATTGCCAAGTTGCTTACCAAATGAGTCATAAAAATGTAGCTTTATAAAAAAGTGATTATTTTAGTCAATCAGAGAAAGACAATTATCATATGAGCTCCCTGATATGAGGAAGTTCAGAGGCAACATTGGGGGGTAGGAAAAGAATAAATGAAACAAGATGGGATCAGGAAGGAGACAAACCATAAGAGACTCTTAATCTCACAAAACAAACTGAGGGTTGCCGGGGGGAGGGGTGTAGGGAGAGGGTGGTGGGGTTATGGATGCTGGGGAAGGTATGTGCTGTGAAGTGTGTAAACCTGGGGATTCACAGACCTGTACCCCTGGGGCTAATAATACATTATATGTTAATAAAAAAATAAAAAATAAAAAAATAAAGTGATTATTTCCCTGAATCTCTGTGAGCCCTGGCTATCATTTTTTTTTTAACCTTAACTAAATTATAAACAACATGACTGGTATGCATGGGCAGTGATATTATGAAAATGGACCCCAAATCTAAATTTCTCATTGATTCATTTGCTTCTACTGAAATGTTGGTAAAACTTGGTCCGAAATGAAAAAGATCTTGGAAGAGCTCAAGCAAACTTCTAGAACTCCTTTTCTCCCCCAGGTATATTGAAGTACAATTGACAAATAAATTGTAATATATTTAAAATGTACAATGTAAAATGTACAATGTACATTTTAAATTCAATATATTTATACATTATGAAAAGATTCCCATGTTTTTTCATTATAGCGTAAGAGAGAGGCACATACTGGGACCCAATGTCAAAGAGATCTGTTGATCATTTGGGACCACCTTTGACCTTTTTTTTTCTAAAGAATTTATTTATTTATTGGACAGAGATCACAAGTAGGCAGAGAGGCAGACAGAGAGGGGGAAGCAGGCTCCCCACTGAGCAGAGAACCCGATGTTGGGCTCGATCCCAGGACCCCGGGATCATGACCTGAGCTGAAGGCAGAGGCTTTAACCCACTGAGCCACCCAGGAGCCCCCCCAACTTTGACTTTAATAAAAAAAATTTTATTAAATTTTTTATTAAAAAATTGTTAACATACCATGTTATATTAGTTTGAGGTGTACAACATAGCAATTAGGCAACTGTATATATATTATGCAATGTTCATCATGACAAGTGTAGTTACCATCTGTCACCATATGTTATTACAATATTATTGACCATATTTCCTACACTGTACTTTTCATCCTCATGACTTATTTATTTTACAACTGGAAGACTGTACCTCTTATTCCCCTTTACCTACGTTGCTTATCCCCCATAACCCTCCCCCTCTGACACCTACCAGTTTGTTCCCTGCATTTATGAGTCTGTTTCTGTTTTTTGTTTATTCATTTGTTGGATTCCATCCTTAAGTGAAATCATTTAGTATTTGTCTTTATCTGATTTCTCTTACTTAGCACAATACCCTGTAAGCTCATCCATGTTGCTACAGATGGCAAGATCCCATTATTATGTATGGCTGAGTAATATTTCACTGTATATCTATATAGACACCACATCTTGTTTATCTATTCATCTATCTATGGACACTTAGGTTGCCTCCATATCTTGATTACTGTAAATAATGATGCAATAAATATAGGTGTGCACATATCTTCTTGCATTAGTGATTTTGTTTTCTTTGGGTAAATACCCAATAGTGGAATGTTTTCTAATCCAAAGTATTACCAAAGAATGTTAGGAACTGAATATAATGCAAAAGGCATTTGTCAGGGATGGACAGAAATAAATGCATACCTGATTCAAACAAGAAATGTGAAAATTAGCTATTTGTAAAACTGTCATGAGCTTACGCAATGTTGTATTCATATACTACCAAAGGTTTACCAGATAGAGCCATGAATGTCTCAAATAATGACAAGAAAACATCTGCTTAAACATCAATATTATATATATTTATATCAATATTATCATTAATATTATATATGTATATATATGTATATACATATATATATATATATGTATATACATATATATCTATATATCTATAATCTCCAAAGTCCATGGTTTGGTAGATTAAATACAAGGTTTGACATTATACAAATTTAGATTAAAAATACTGTTGTGGTACATACTGGCTTTCTGATTTTGACAAAGTTCTTTAGCCTTTCTAAAACCGTGTGTGAAAATTTCTAGCATGTGGTAGGTGCATAATAAATGGAAATAAAGCATGAAGAATAGGCCAGATAACCTAACTAACGTATCTTAGGGCTATTGAGTGACTGTTGCAGTCCAGATTAAAGAACTCCACCATTGACGCAGGATAGTTGTAGTTATGGGATTTAGATTCAACACAATGGTGAAATGTATCTCTGAACATAGGTATCACAAATGCAGGCAAATGCAAATGTTAAAAATCCTGGACTTAATGTGTGATTGGAGGTTACTAAAAAATAAGCAATTAGCAACTCTTCCAAATCAGGTTCCATATTTGTCACGCCACATATTTCTGGGGACTATTTCAAGTACTAACAATGGGATCCTTGAAACATTCTTTGGACAAACTGGCAGATGAGTCTGACAACTATAATCACACTGGGAAAGTTAAGATCTCAATTCTCAAGGAACGTAATTCAGAGACTTCAAAAGTAGGAGAAGAGGATGCCTGGGTGGCTCAGTGGGTTAGGCCTGAAGGCAGCTCAGGTCATGATCTCAGGGTCCTGGGATCGAGGACCACATGGGGCTCTCTGCTCAGCAGGGAGCCTGCTTCCCCTGCTCTCTCTCTCTGCCTGCCTCTCTGCCTACTTGTGATCTCTCTCTCTGTCAAATAAATAAATAAAATCTTAGAAAAAAAATACTAGAAGAAAAACTGTTTCAGCTAAAGGGGGCATTGGGAAAATAAATTTGTACTGCAAAGGTGTCATTCATTCATCTGTTCTGTCAAATGCAAAGGCTAAGGGTCAGCTGGGATTGACTGGACCCAGAAATCTGTTGAGCTGTAGTATGTAGTATGTAGTATATAGTATGTAGTATGTAGTATGTCAGTCAGCCATGTCTCTCATACAAACTTCTCCCTTGCTAGAAGAAAAGTAGTAATCATGATTATGAAGACATCATTTTCTTATAGAATAGAGAGGAAAATCAAAGATATATAGATAGAGGAAATAGTCTTTACCTGCTAGCCTAAAATCATTATCTAAAATTAAAAATTATAGTATAGTAAAAATGAACTACCCAAGTGTCTTCATCTGATGGCTCCATGAGAGGTTACAGGTCTTCATTCATTCATTCATTGAACTTTAATTGAAGGACTACAATGAACAGCTATTAGTAGCACCAGAAATGACATATGACTCTCAACAAATCTTATGGTCTGGTAAGGGAGATCAACAAATAAAAAAGAACCCCAGTGCAGTGAAATAAATACTATGATGGATGGTTTTACAAAACATCAATGGAAGTAGAATAGTAACCTCACTGGATTTCCATTTTATGTACAACTGAAGAAGATTTTAATCAACACTTTCTGAACTCTTACTATCTGAAAGGAAAGTTGAGGTTATTTGGCTAGGAATGTAGCCATCCCCACACTCAAAAATGCTATTGACATGATGGAGAGGCAAAAGTAACCAATCAATTATTACAGAATTTTTCATATTATATCTCATATATATATATGTACATATATACATATATATATATATATATATATATATATATATGAAATATTCATACAAGAGAATCCCTTCATTGGACATTGTGAGGAATCATGCCATAATTCTGGTATCTCTCTGCTAAACTTGGTTCATTAGCCGATGATGTTGTTCAAATATTGTGTCCACAACTGAATGTAGTGTTCTGCAGTAGACTTTGATATCCCCAGAGGCAAAGGAGATGTAATAGAAGAGACATGATGCCAGTAGAAGAGAGAGATGACAGCTCAGCATCTGTTGATCCAGACTAGATTATATGATTGTTTTCCTTCTGGATTCTATGCTGGAAGTGAAGAGTGAAGGAGAGCCTTCTCCTAACACCCAAATGGCTTTAGGAAACATCTTTAAAATGCAATTAATTTCATGTATTTTAAAGATAAGTATAAGCAGGGCTCTTGTTGTCTTTCTCCCTTGTATAGAAATTAAATGCACAAAATGAAACTTCATCTATTTTTTCTTCTCCATAAAACCTCATTGAACCGCAAGGGCTCAGTAGGACATATCCCATTGGTGCTGTCCCACTAACCTCTCATCACCTGTCTGATGCTCTGTCTCTCCCTGCTCTTGCATGACTCACATGCCATCCTCACTGGCACGATTTCTAAAAGTTGCCCTCAAATTCCTAGCCTGGAAAGTGTTGTTGATGTCCCGAGGCTTTCGCAAGGATTGTTTCTCAATTTAAATAAAACATTATTGTATTCCTGTCTACAGGTACTCCTGGGCCTATGCAGATGATGGTATCCTGATACTTTACTTAGGAAAAGAAAAAGAATCCTGCAGCTTTCTTTGCTGCCTTGGGTAAGACTTCATTTCACTGGCTTGACAGGAGTCAACTGTCTTCATGGTGTACACAGTTCTGTGGTCCCTCATGCTCCCTTGTTTTTGCTGTGATCAGTCAGATTGGAAAAACCACAGGTCTCCAAAGCTAGTTAGATAGGGAAAATTCCATTTTGTTAGCTCTTGCTATGGATTTCTTGGTTATATTAGTACACTTGTTTACCTGCAGAGGATGGCAATGCTAAGGGCATAGCCATGGGCTAGCACCTGAGAGGTCACTTGAACATTAAGGTCAATGAGGTTAGATTTGGGCTTGGTAAAATTGTCTCCAGGTCAAACAGTAGCAGAAAATGCTAACATAATCTTTGGCTGAAATTTTACTTGTGCAATGTAAAGAAGAGAGGTGAGAGTCCTACTCTACTTTTCAGCAATCAGTATCTTCCCCGCACCATTTATCACATACACTCTGAGAAAGAGAGAGAGCAACACTGACTCACCGCTCTAATTCTTTCTCCACATAAAGGGCTTTCTAACAAGCAGAAATAAAACTCAAGGGGGTCTGAATTCCTAGCTATTGAAGGTATTGAAGAGGACAGGTCATAAAAATTCAAAGGTTAGATGGGTTATGGCAGTCACTAGATGACTTTGGTATACCTGGCCTGAAATTCTATCATGCTGTATCTTTGAGCAATCTCAGGTCATGGTGAGCTTTGTTCTAATGCCTACATGAGACCCTTCTTCCAAGCCCCTTATCTAGCTACAGATACTACTGTCACCAACACCCCAGCTAGCCATCTTCCAAAAGTAGGCTCTCATACCAGATTTGAGTATAAGTAGTTCACTTGGTTAGTGCAGGGAACATTGACAAGAAGTGAAGAAGTGACACGGGGAGGGAAGTTAGCCAAGAAAGAATACATCACTAAACCAAATAACCGTGGGCAAACGGAGTCTTAATCACAGAAGGGAAAGACTGGATCACAGTGCAAAACTCAGGCTTTAGACATTCCATATGGGTAAGGGGACAAGTACTCACACACCATGTGCTGTAAGTCACTGGTTTAGGGCTGCTCCAGCATGGTGTTCTTTCTCTGGACTACTGTTGAACAGAGAAGGTGGCTCTCCAAGGTCACTCAAAGAAGGCTTAAGCATCGATAGGTTGATCCTGGCAAATAGAAGATAGATGATAGATAGATAGATAGATAGATAGATAGATAGATGATAGATAGATAGATATGGTGAAGTCTGATCAATAGGCACTGGCATATAGTGAAGTATGATGGACAGGCACTGGCAAGTCTTCTATACCCATAGTTCCACATATCTTCTGTCTAAGGTTCAGATGCTAAATTCCAGAATGTACCTCATTTATCCAAATAGGGGCAAGTATTAACCTAATTCTCCTAGAATCATGTTTTTTCCTGATTGTGGTCACTCTGTGCTCTGGGTTTATCAAACTGCACCTAGAGTGTTGTGATAAAACAGGTACCAGGAGTTTGTATACCGAGAAAGGATGCTCAACATAGGGAGTCAAACAGCTACAGCCTTCAAAAACTATCTTGTCATCAATACCATATTTTAAAACTAATCCAATGTTCTTTATTTCTTTTCTAAAGCAATGTGTTAAATTAGAGATAAAAATAAAAATATCTTAAAGCTTTGTGATCCCCAAAGTCAAAGAAAGTAACAATTAATATTTTGGTATATTATCCTTCTCTCTTTCTTTCTGTCTCTCTCCCACCCCTTCCTCTCCCTCTCTCCTTCCCTCCCTCCTTCCCTCTCTCTCACACACATACACACACATTGAATTTACCCGAGAAAAAGGTGAATTTAAACGAGTTCAATTATATCAAGGTTAGTTATGCATAAAGAATCAAAATATATCTAAGCCCAAGAAAGACACCCAAACTACAGGCAGTAGAATATTTCTGTTGAGATCAGACTATGACTATAGAATTTCGATTCAAAAGAACCAGATGGTTAATTTCCCGTTAAAAAAAAAAATGAGTACTTTTGAATGCCTGGTACATATGTTAATATGTTGTGATTGCCAAGATCACCCCCAGGAGAAAAATGCCAAGTGAAAATAGCATGTACATTCTCCCATTTGTGTGAGAAAATATAAACATGGACTTCTATACTCACAACTGATTTCATAAGGAGGTGGTATTTCTAGAAACACAGGATCTTTTTTCTTTTATTTTGAAATTCAGAGAAAAGTCACAAAAGAGTACAAATGAGTTTCTCCTGAATTATTTGAGAGTAAATTGCCCCAAACCCCTGAATAACTAAGATTATTTTCTAACAACAAGGACATTCTCCTACATAACATGATAGAACCAAAAAATTTAGGATATTAACTTTGCTTCTTATTACTATTTAATCTTCAGACAATTTCACCAATGTCCTCTTAAAGTTCTGCCATTTTTCCCAACAAATATCCTTTATAACAAAAATGTCCAATCCAGAGTCTTTCAGACAATGTATACAGTTGTCACCCTCCATTAGTTTCCACTGATCTAGAACATTCCTCAGTCTTCTCTTGACTTCCATAACCACATTTCTTATAGGCCAGTTACAATGCAGACCTTCCCTCAGTTTCAGTTTGTCTAATGTCCCCACATTATTAGATTTAGGTGATGCATCTTGGACAACAATATCCCAGTCATAATGCTGTGTTTTCATTGAATTCTCTCAGGTGGCACTGAATTTCAAGGTATTCTATTATTGGTGATGTTAATTTTGATCACTTGATTAAGGGGGTGTTTCCAGCTTTCTCTGCTATAAAGTTATTTTTCCATTATAAATAGTAAGTATTTGGGGGAGAGATATTATGAGATTATGCAAATCTCATTCTTCATCAAACTTTCAGTTAATTTATTCATATATTTATATCACTATGATCACATGGATTCTTTTTATTCCACTTTTTTATTCCACTTTTTATTCAATCCATTACTTTCATTATTGAATGTGATGCTGAAATTCATTCAGATTTGGCCAGAGGGAACCCCTTTAAGTTGGTGTCTGTATTAGTTTTATATGCCTTCCTCATTTTTATTTTCTGGCTTTTTTTTTCCTGCTTCAGCCTTGGAATCAGCCCATTTCTCTGGGAGCCCTGATTCCATTTAGTAAAAAATTGTATTTAGAAACATCGATCTGGGTACTGGGTATGCTCCTTGCTATTGTGTGTCATAGCTCACAAGCTCTTTCAGTGGACAGGGCTAGAAATACACTTATTTATACATATGCATAGACATAAGTCTCACATTTATATTTATATCCAATCTCTATCTATTGAAAACTACAAGTTCATATCTAATCTTTCAATGCAACCCAGGGTTCATCACAGTTTTTTCCCACTTTTTGCATTTGAAACACTCATACCTGACTGTGAGAAACTAGGCTACTATGATTATTAACACATTATGTTTTGATCCATACTCTACAAGTCTCTAACCTCTCTTTAGGCTCACCCATGTGTATGATGGAGACCTTGATCACTACATCCTGGCCCGACTTTCCCTATGTCCATGCCCTACTACCCTCCCTTTGGACTCTTCTACCCACATCCAGTAACCTCCTTACCCTTGCCACAGACTGATTCTTCATTTTGCTGTGGCTCTGATGAAGGCACTAGACCACAGGAGAACCTCTTACCTTGTCAGGATGTCTGTCTTGCTAGGCCCCACCTGATGATTTTAGATAATCATTTGGGAAAAAAAGAAAGAAGAATAACTGAGGAACTCAACTGCAGTTGCCACTTGAGAGGAGAATTAAATATTCAAAGATGAGAGGGTGCTTTTGCTTTTTAGTATATACCCTTTCTAATGATTTGATATGCCTAACATGAATGATACCTTATATTACTTTTCCAATTTAAAAGATGACATGATAAATAAAAAGAGAGATAAATAAATAAATAAATAAAACGTGAAAACCCTATGATGGATGAACAAATATAAACATTTTAACCGATAAACAGTAATCATTTTATTATGAATGCATAGTTATGGAATTATGTTCTTCCATGTTTGCCTTTAGGCAACTATGAATATTTTAGTTCATTCTAAGGAAGGAAGGAAAGAAGGAAGAAGAGAAGAGAAGAGAAGAGAAGAAGAGAGAAGAGGAGAGGAGAGGAGAGAAAAAAGAAATAAAGAAAAGGAAAAAAAGGAAAGAAAACCTGGAAATGGTACCTCTAAGAACTTAGTAGTGAAATACTATGTCTTCTTATTTTTAATATTTTTTAAAGATTTTATTTATTTTTTTTGAGAGGGAGCATGAAAGAAATTAAGAGCAGGGGGTGGGATATGGAGAAGCAGACTCCCCACTGAGCAGGGAAGTAGGGAGCCGATGTGAGGTTGGATCCCAGGACGCTGAGACCCTGAGATCATGACCTGAGCTGAAGGCAGACACTTAACTGACTGAGCCACCAGGTGCCTCAAAATACCATGTCTTCTATATCAGTCACACCTGAGATTGTTTCAAAGCCTCCTGTAAATGATAAACGACTATGCAAAAGGAGAAAAGGAGGCATTGTTTTTATTCAGGAAGGGACACTCAAGTGTCCAGCTCATGCGGTCTTCACCATAATGGGGCAAAGTAAGCAGGGGTGATCCAGTTCTCAGGATTTCAAGTCAATCGAGATCAAGAATCCAAACACAGGTCTTTAGGAATGATACTCCGCATGGCTCTTTAGAGTCTAAATGGTCTAACTGTAATGTTTCAAACCCCAGAAAGCTGCCCAGACCCTGCTTTATGTTACTACTGTCCTGTAAGAAATTAAAACTTCTCCATAAATAAGAAATTGCCAATACCAAAAAATAAAGTGCCTAAGAGATATCTGTCATGGAAGAAAAGAATTTATAAATATTCATATTTTATAGAGCAATCAAGATGTTGATGTTAATATTAGAGCAATAACTTTAATTGTATTTCAGCAAACGGATGCCAATTAGGAAACAAATTATCTCATAGAAGCATGTCTTGCACACAGTTTTGCCCTGAAGGTAAGCCGAGGGCTA